AGAACTGCTCTATCCGTGTGGAAAAGTAAATATGGTTCGTCCACCCGCAACACCGCCAACTCAGACGGCCTACGGGTCGAAATGATCGCCACCAGGAATGCCACCTTCCATGAGAGGAGGCGAAGGTCGACTGTCGCCAGGGGCTCGAACGGTGGTAGTATGAGCCGGGTAAGGACGAGATTGAGACTCCAGCCAGGGGTTGGAGGATGGACCGGCGGGTGAAGATTGTTAAAACCCCTCAGGAAGGATCTCACCAAATTGTCTCGGAAGATAGAGGATCCCCCTCTTCGCTGGGTATGCCATGAAATGGCGGCAAGGTGAGACTTTAGTGATGAAAGCAAGAGGTAAGGGAAAACAAAAATTGGAGAACCTTTGGTATCGAGGGTGGGGATTCATTGATTCCTTTTTCAAGGAGGAAATTCTGGAATCGGGTAAAGCAGGCAGCATATGTCCTTTTCGTAGCTGGCTTGTGGGCCTCAGTGAAGATGGATCGCACATCTGGACCCAGTGCCCTCAAAACCGGATCCTCCACGCTGAGAGATGGAGGGACGGGAGATCGGGATGGAGAAGCTGGCCTTCTTCCCTCGATAGTAGGTCCTAGTGGAGAGGTAATCGTTGGACTTGATCGTCAGATAGTTGCAGGAGAACCGGGTACCACACCTGTTATGGCCATGCAGGCGCTATCAAGATGCAGTTGGCTTGCACCGCCTGGATCCTCTTGATCACCCTGGCGATGAGTGGGAAAGGCGGGAAGATGTACAGAAGACCCCTTGACCAGTTGAGGAGGAATGCATCCCCAAGGCACCCCGGTACCAAACCCGGTGGGAGACGGGACCCAAACTGTGGAAGCTGGGCGTTCAAGCGGGATGCAAAGAGGTCAAACGTCTGGCCACCCCAGTCTTCAAAGAGTAGAGTGAACTCCTGTGGGTTCACCTTCCACTCGGGTGAAGATGACCATGTTCGACTCAGCGAGTCCGCTTCAACATTTTGGGAGCCTGGCAGATGTATCGCCACAAGCGCGACCGACTTAGCCACACACCATTCCCAAAGTTGTAGAGAGAGGGTCAGCAGCTTTCTCGATCCCGTTCCGCCCTGTTGGTTTATATAGTACATGGCCACCATATTGTCCGTGAGGATTTGGACATTTCTTCCTGTGACCAGAAGGGCAAACGCTCATAGGGATTTGAAAATCGCCAGAAGTTCTAGGTAGATGATGTGGCATAACCTCTCCTTTGCAGACCAAATATCTTGGATGGAGAATTCTCCTGTATGGCATCCCCATGCGAACATCAACGCATCCGTTGTAAGGGTGATAGATGGGGGGGGCAACTGTTCACCATTTTAGGGATTTCTTTACAGATGGCGGAATGGTGAGGCGCTTTGATGCGTGGTCTCTGATTGGGTTGAAGTGGTCGAGGAACCACCTTTGTAGAGGCCGGAACCGCAGCCCTGCCAGTGGGGTTATCATCACTGTAGAAGCCATGTGGCCTAGCAGGATTTGGATCTGCTTGGCCGATACTGTCCGAGAACAAATGCCTCGGAGTGCTTCGAGACGGAGTGCTCTGAACCTTACTTCAGCAAGGTATACAGACTGGGCCAGCAGATCGAACATGGCACTGATGAACTTTATGCACGTCGTTGGAGTCAAGTGTGACTTTTCTTCGTTCAGCTGGAGACCGAGGAGGGAGACCGTCTTTTGAATTTGCGATCTCAGGAGTGCTGGAGAGGGTGCTGCCAGGGGCCAATCGTCCAAGTCTGGAAAAATTCGGATTTTTTTCCTTTCTGAGAGATGCGGCTACTACAGACATACATTTTGTGAAAGTCCTTGGGGCCATTACGAGCCCAAATGGGAGCACATTGAAAGAGTAAGCCTGCCCCGCTACACGGAATGATAGAAAACATCTGTGGTGTTTTCGTATTGACAGGTGGAAATAAGCGTCCCGGAGGTCGATCGATGCGAAGAAGTCTGAGGAGGGGGAGTATGGACGACACTGTCACCATTCTGAACTTCTGAGGCTTGATGAAGGCATTTAAGTCTCTCAAGTCCAAGATTGGGCGGAGGGAACCATCCGGCTTGGGAACGGTGAAATATTTTGAGAATAAGGCCTGCCCGTTGCAGCAGTCTGGAAGGGGAGAAATTGCCCCTTTTAGAAGAAGGGCATCGACCTCTGAAAGAATTGGAGAGGAGGGCTCGGTCTCGACAATTTGACCCATTGCGGGAAGTTCTTTGAACTCCAATGCATAACCATCCACCACAATCTTTAGCACCCACACATCTGAGGTGATATTTCGCCATGCATCGATGAAGTTCACAAGGCGGTCGCCGAACGGTGGGTGTCGAGGTCGAAGTCCAAGGGCAGGGTTTGATAGGAGGGATATGGGAACAGCATCGGTATGGAATAAAGAGATGGTATCGTCCAGGAGAACATCAAACTTGGTGTCTAGGATGGTTTCCACCCGATGTATGGTGAACTCTCGAACGTTGCTCTTGCGGCTGTGAGCGCCACTGCTGGGGATGTTCTGGCTGATGGGCCTGCTGCTGTGTAACTTGCAGGGGGAGAAAAGTTTGGCGATACTGGAACTGTCGATATGGAGCTCCATTTCACCACCTCAAATACTGGAACCACCTTGTTCTCTGGGATTGGTTCCCGATCCCGCATTTGGCTGCCAGTATTTTAAAATCTTGGTTTGCCTCAGTTTGTCGTCGGTCCCTGCACTGAAAAGATGGAGGGCATCGAAGGGCAAATCCTCAATAACCTGCCTTGATGATGTTGAGAGGCCCAAAGACCGGAGCCACGCGTGTCTTCTGATAGCGACCGCATGAACAATCATCTTTCCGACCATGTCTCCCGTGTGTTTGGCCATCTGCATCTGGCTAACAAGAGGGCACCAGAGTATAATTTTCGGCCAACGGCGTCAAACCTCTTGCCCTCTTGGTCTGAGGGAGTGGAGGATTGTCTTCCGAACACCTGTGCCACCTTCACCACCACTGAGTTTGGATCGGGGTGGTGCTTCAGCCATTCTAGGCCCTCGTCATCAGTCCGGCACCAGGCTTCAATTTTCTTAGAGGTGGGAGGGATGGACGACGGGGTCTTCCAAGAGGCTTGGATCACATCAACGAGATATGGGAGGAAGGGTAGTAGAGGGGCCGGCGGTGTCTCCAATTGGACCCATTTAAAAACTGGGTCAGTAACTGCTTTGGACGTGTGTTTAACCTCCAGGCCCAAAGTGTCTGCCATGTGGGCCATCTGGTCAGCGAAGGCCCTAACGTTGTCCATTGGTGGCGGAGGGTTGGCCTCGTAGGCATCGTGGGTAGGAGACCTATTAATACCGAGGGACAGTACCGAGCCCGAGGAATTCTCCATCTTCCTTTTCTTCCTCTGCTTCAGATGGAGGGGGCGAGGATGAGGAAGGATTGTGTGGAGGTGGAGGAGGTGGTGGGAGCCGGGGTGAAGATAGGGCTGGAGGTTGTTTGGAGGCTGAAGACTGAGCAGCACGTGCCAGTCTGGCCGTTTGTCTCCCCCTTTCCGGCATTGCCATGGGTGGAAAGAACTCTTATCTGGCAGTAAGTCCAGGTGGCCGGTTGGGCACCTCTATCACAGTATCCACTGAGATAACTGGTGATTCTGGCCGCTCTACGGGCACCTCTGTTGGCATCTGTTCCTTCTTTGTTGGTTGTTGGAGGGGCTCTGGCTGGGCTGACTGGATCGGTGAAGACCTTGCTGACGAGGTGGCCGATGAGACAATTGTTGCCCTTCTTGATGAAGAGGACGAAGAAGACGGCTGAGGCATTGTCTTTTTCTTTTTTCACAAGGGATTTGTTGATGCCCATTTCAAGAGCAACTTGCCCAGCGTGGGGGGGACGGAGGAGGAGGAGGTCACGGTCCGACGAGATTCTTCCTGCGCCCTTCGAAAGACTATGCGAACAGCAGTCGACGATGGTGGAGTTGCAGTCGTCGACCTCGTGGATCGGACCAACCTCACCTTTTTACCAGGGACCACTTTGACCAACAGAGCTGGTTGAGGAATGGTGCACACGTACGGTCTCAGTGGTCACCGTACATGGCCTCTTAGTCTGCTTGGTCGGTTTTGCAGTCTTCGATGTCGTCGACATCGTCGCCCGAGGTCTCTTTTGTGCAGCCTTAGTCGCCTTTGTTTGGTGAGCTGCGGGTTGTGTGGGCGGATCAGCCGGCTCTGATGTCAATGCCGCTGCTGAGGTTGATGGTCGTGCAGTTGATGTCGATGCCGAGGTCGATGGTCGTGCCGTCGACGGTATCGGTGCCAAAGTCTGCTGGTACAACAAGTACCAGAGACGGTGAACTCGGTTTTTCCGAGATTGTTCCATCAAGGCCTGGCAGTGACGGCAGGAATCGGCGATATGAGCCTCGCTGAGGCAAAGAAGGCACAAAGAGTGCTTATCCAAGTCTGAAATCTTTCTAAAACACTGCGTGCAGTGCTTAAATCGAGTCGTGGACATCACAGAAGTTCTGAAGTGAGCTTTGCGGCGGAAAAACAGGAACTGCTGAGTGTGCCTTTTATGCCCTGCCGAGGACTGGGCGGGGTTACTGCCAAAACTTGAAAAGTTTAAACTAGAGAAGTTTCCGTTAGGGCCTGCGCAGGTGCAGACATGTGTGCATTCACAGAGACCACGGAGAAAAATCTCAAATAAATGGAAGGAATTTAAATAAAGAAATGAAAGGATTGTAGCACAGTTAGTTAATCACTGCCAACCAGAAGGTGGCAAATTTAAAGTCTGAGATGGATTGAGCACCCGACTGGTAAGTCTAGTTTACTGTCCACCTAAGCAGTTTGAAAACAAATGAGCTGTGAGTAGAGAAATTAGGGACGGCTTAAAGTGGAGAGTTATTTTATAACACCATAAAAATGCTGGTGATCAAAGAGGAAGGAGGAAATTTATTTATTGACGACATTTATATGCTGCCCTTCTCACCCTGAAGGGGACTCAGAGTGGCTTACAAATAATATGTAAATATAATATATTATATTATTAGCATAGCATAATATCAGTATTATACTGTACTATACCATTATATTGTAATATTATTAGTAATATTACATGTAATATAAAATATATAATATTGGAGTATTATTAGCATTATATTGTATTACATTATAATAATATAAATAGTATATGCATATATACAATATATTATATTATTAGTGTAGCACAGGAGACAAGGTGGAACAATCAAAATGACTTGGTGTCATAATGGATGAAACAACAGCACCCCCTGTCATCATCTTAGACCAGAGTTGCCCATCCAGATTAAAGACTTCAAATATATTTTTAATATGTAAGTGGTGAGCACATGGAAAGGGAATGGCGGGATGGAAAAGTTCACAGTTCATGGCAATTCCAGAAGAAGTGGGCATCTCGTGGCAGACCAACTTAGTTGCCTCTTCCTTCTTTTAGTAAACTCTCAGACTGACTATCGTTGCTTTCCTTGCCATCACTGCCGCTTTCTTCGCTTCCTTCTTTGGATCCTTCTTTGCTGTCTGTTCTTCGCAAAGAGTTGGCACAGGGGCTGCGGCACCAGGGGAGAAACAGGGGAGTGGTCATTTATGGGGAACATCTGAACAGTCCCCAGAAGGGTAGGGAGACTTTGGGGTCAAACATTTCAGAGTTACTGAATATATTTTCTGGCCAGAATATCAGTTCATTAACATGAGGAGTATCTGTGTCTAGTAGGCATGTGCAATCCATGGTTCTAAATGGTTCTAAAGTACTTACAAAACTAAAGTTCCGGTTGTGAAAACTAGGGGGCGCTGGTGCTTTGCTTCTACAGTGTTGCTAAAGTTCTGGTGGTGAAAATTTCAGAATTCTAACAAAACTTTCAAAATTTCATTATTATTTCATTATTGGTGATTTTTATGACAGAACCTATTTATAATGAAATTTTGAAAGTTGTGTTCTGAAATTTTCACCATCAGAACTTTAGCAAAACTGTAGAAGCAAAGCACCAACATACTCTACTTTTCACCACCAACAAAATTTACGAGGCCATAAAAAAGACTCCAGCAAAGCATGCGGGGAATGCGGAAGTACTTCATCAGTGTCACAGATGGACAATGAAAGCAACAGCTCCCCTGGTGGTCAGAAAAAGTTAAATAGCCTGTGACTGTTAGTCTCCAACTGTTGTGTGTCTTGGCATTGAATGTTTGCCACATTGTAATCCACCCTGAGTCCCCTGTGGGGTGAGAAGGGCGGAATATAAATACTGAAAATAAATAAATAAATAAATAGTTTCTGTTACAGAACATATGCCATCCAGTGGTTGCCATATGCTCACCCACAGAAAACTATATGTGCCCCACTTTGTGCTGGTCAGTGACTGTAATAAAGTGTTGTTGTTTTTGCTGTTGTTCTAGTATCTAGTTTCATGGAATTCTTTGAACTATTTCTATTTGAACAATTTGTTCCTGTTTCTTTTTAACCAATTGTATTTACCTTTTACTGTGGATTACTTTTTATTGCTTTGGCTTTTGTTATCCTCAATAAACTGCTTGCTATTTTAACCCATCTGTGTAGTGTTTAGAGTTAGAGGTGATCTTGCTCTGGAGTACAACACTGTGTTGTGAAGAGAGGAGAGGTCACACACCTTCCTCTCTTCCCAGCTGAGAGGGAAGAAAAGGAAGGCCTGCAGCTGGGTTGCTGTCCCAAGAAGAGTGTAAAAGCTTCATGCCTTCCTCCTCTTCCCTCTCAGCTGTGACCCAGCTGAATCTCTGCGCTGAGAGGAGGAGAGGAAGGCAGGTGGTCTCTCCTCTCTTCTCTGCACAGCAATCCAGCTGGGTTGCTGTGCCGAGAAAAGAGAAGAAGCCACATGCCTTCCTCTCTTCGCTCTCTTCTCTCTCTTCCCAGCTGAGAAGGAAGAAGAGGAAGGCATGCAGCTGGGTTGTTGTGCCGAGAGAGGAAAGGAGAAGCTGCATGGCTTCCTCTTCTTCCCTCTCAGCACAGTGACCCCAACTGGGTCTCTGTGCCAAGAGAGGAGAGGAAAGTGTGTGGCCTCTCCTCTCTTCTTGGCACAGCAACCCAGCTAGTTGCTGTGCCAAGAGAAGAAGAGAAGCTGCATGCCTCCCCCTTCTTCCCTCTCAGCACAGCTGCTGCATTTCCCATCCTAGACTTATACTTGAGTCAATAAGTTTTCCCAGTGTTTTGTGGCAAAATTAAGTGCTTCAGCCTATATTCGGGTCAGCTTATACTTTAGTATATATGATATATGTTTTGCACAAGAGTTACCCTTTCTTACCTCTTTTCCACGATATAGAAACAAAATGGAAAGCACGCAACCAGCATCACTCCTCCAATGCCAATACCAAAGAACCGCAGGATCTTCTGAGGACCTGTTACAGTTAGAATAATGTGAGCTTGGCTTGTGTGAGATGCAAACTGAGTTCGAAGAGGGAGGAGAGGAGAAGTATGCTATAGTGTTGCCTTTCCCCATAGGCTCAGGCAAAAGAAAACTGTTGCAAACTCTTCTAGTCTGGGTATTCATCCCCATTAATAATATTTGTCATCTTAACCACACTCTGACGCTGTTTGGCAATGTGTGTCCTGGTTTTCACCTATGAAATGCTGAAAGGTATGAGGCTAATTGCAATCTACTCAATAGAGGTGTGCGATTGATAAAAAAGTTTCAAAAGTAATTACAAAATTCATTTCTAAAGTGTTTCTAAAGAGTCATTAGTGGAAATGTTGCTACTATAATGAGAGTAACAAAATTCCGTTACTTTTTCAATATAGTAATTTCGCACTTGGGGAAACTTTGGGGGCTCCTTTCTCCCTCATTTTTACAGCTATTGGGATGAAACTTGCTACGATGGTAACACTATTAGCCTATCATGTTTCAGAATGTTTCATTAGGCTTGTGCATATTTTTTATTTTTTATTTATATTTTGAATCAAATTCATTAAATTCATGCATACGAAGCAATATTAGAAACATGCAGGAAAGGTTGTGGTGGTGGAGAATTAAGAAATTCAAATACTCACCAATAATTTTAATTAAGATTCTGTAACATTCGGATGCCTCCAAGATCTGTTTAATTTTCAGTGTAAGCATTAAGCAACTTTGGTAAAGTCAAAAAATCACAAAGTGCTTTCAAAATCTTTTTTTTTTCTTTTTCCTGATCACCATAAGGAAGGCACTGGAAGGAGGGACTGAAGTTAATGAGAACACAGCCATCTTAAATGTAGTTTGGGAAGGCGGGCCCCCTGTGGCAGAGAATGCAAAAGGCCCTGTCCTAAACTACATTTCCCAGAATGCAATGCTCAACATCTGAAGGACACAATGAGGGCTGTTGCAGGCACTTTCAGTCGTGTAGAGTCAGTCTAATAATAAGAAATAAAATTATGAATCTGCAAAGAGGCTAAAGTAAGTAAGTAACAGTATAAATATATGCTAAATTGAAGTTATGTGTGATAAAGACAGACATTCAGGGGGATTGCTGTTGTCACTTTTGTTTGTATCTAAAAAAATTTAAATCCCCCAAAATCTGTATATGTGTGAATCTTTCTGAAACTTCTGGGGTTTGATGTTCTGGTTATCTTGTGCATTACAAATAAAATTCAAGTAGATAGCGTTTGCAGTTTTTTAAAAACGTTGTTTATAAATACTTTGAAAATTCCCCAAAAATCCATGGATAAGTGAAATGTTCTGAAATTTGGTGGGCTAACAGTGGTCAGTGTGTTCTACCATTGAAGCAAGTTTCACTCCAATAGCTTTAAAAATGAGGGAGAAGGGAACCCCTGAATTTTCCCCAATTATAGTACTTTATGTGCATGTGCAATTACTGTAATTTCATTAGTCTCATTATAGTATCGAGTTTTTCACCAAGTATACTTTATAAACACTTTAGATATGAAGCACCAGCACTCCCAGTTTTGTAAGTACTTTTGAACCATTTTTAATGGATCACACATGCCTATTATCCACAGATTTTTGGGGTACTTTCAACTTTCAACAACACTAGCCAGCCGTTCCCTGCCACACATTGCTGTGGCCCAGTCTGTGTATATGTGCTTTGTATGTGAATATGTGTATATATGTGTGTGTATATATCTGTGTATATGTGTATATATATATGTGTGTGTGTGTGGTTTTGTGCATACATTGTAATGAATTTTTTGTTACTTTTTAAGTCTCTTCTGCGCAGTTTTTCAGTGTTTTTATGAGTGATGGTCACTTGTTAGTCTGATATGTGGATTGTGTCCAAATTTGGTGTCAGTTCATCCGGTGCTTTTTGAGTTATTCTAATCCCACAAACGAATGTTACACTTTTATTTATACAGATTAGCCATCCCCTGCCACGCATTGCTGTGGCCCACATGGAGGTTCTGTGTGGGAGGTTTGTTCCAATTCTATCATTGGTGGGGTTCAGAATTGTAGGTGAACTATAAATCCCAGCAACTACAACTCCTGAATGTCAAGATTCTATTTTCCCAAAACTCCACCAGTGTTCATATTTGGGCATATTGAGTATTTGTGTAGAGTTTGGTCCAGATCATCATTGTTTGTGTCCACAGTGATCTCTGGATGTAGGTGAACTACAACTCCAAAACCAAAGGACACTGCCCACCAAGCCCTTCCAGTATTTTCTGTTGGTCATGAGAGAACTGTGTGCCAAGTTTGGTTCAATTCCATCGTTGGTGAGGTTCAGAATGCTCTTTGATTGTAGGTGAATTATAAATCCCAGCAACTACAACTCGCAAAAGACAAAACCAATTTTTTGAGTGAAGGACATACATTGGGTTGTTAGGTGTATGCTGTCCAAATTTGGTGTCAATTCACCCAGTGGTTTTTGAGTTCTGTTAATCCAACAAATGAACATTACATTTTTATTTATATAGACTAGCTGTCCCCTGCCACGCGTTGCTGTGGCCCAGTCTGTATATGTATTTTGTGTGTGTATATGTATATATATATATATGTGTGTGTGTGTGTGTGTATTTGTGTATATGTGGAAATATGTTGTTTTGTGCATGCATTGAAATTTTCTTTTGCTTTTTTAGTCTCTTGTGCTGTGTTTTTCAGTGTTTTTATAAGTGATGGTCACTTGTTGGCATGATATATGTATTTTGTCCAAATGTGGTGTCTATTCTCCCAGTGGTTTTTCATTTATGTTAATCATAAATACATAGACACAGTATTTTATTTATTTTGATAGGATGTCTTTAGCAGTGTTTCTATACTTTTTTAATGGCACAACCCCTTAAAGCAGTTCCTCATGTTGTGGTGACCCCCAACCATAATACTATTTTCATTGCCCCTTCATAACTGTCATTTTGCTACTCTTCTTAATCATCATGTAAATATGTGATATGCAAGATGTATTTATGTTGAAAGTCTTCAACAATACATTGTATTTCAGTTGTTATAAATTGAACATAATTAAAGCATTAATCACAAAAACAATAAATTTGGGGTGTATGGACAACGGATGATGGGGTTTGGGGTATCTTCAACTGATTCAGCTCAGACTTCCACAGACCACTAAGACAGATCTGAATGACAGATCTGAACCAAAATTGGCACACAGAACCTTCATGGCCATTGGAAAATACTGGAGGGGTTTGGGAGGAATCCACAGTAAAAGAATCCTAGTGTTGCAAGAGACCTCCAAAGGCCATCTGGTCCAACCTCCCTCTGCCATAAGGGAAAAACACAATCCAAGCACTCCTAACAGATGGCCATAGAGACTCTGCTTAATATTATTATTATTAGAAATAGAATCCTAGAGAAGGGAGACCTCCAAGGGCCATCCAGTCCAACCTCCCTCTGCCATAAGGGAAAAGCACAGCAAAACACTCCTGATAGATGGCCATTTAGACCCTTCGTAATAATAATAATAATAATAATAATAATAATAATAATAATAATAACAACAACAACAACAACAACAATAAGAATTCCTTTCTTCCTTCCTTCCTCTCTCTCTTCCTTCCTTCCTTTCCTCTCCCATCCCTGCCTCCTTTCCTTCCTCCCTCTTTCCTTCCTTCTACCTTTCCTTCCATTCCTATCCTTCTCTTCACCAGTCCTTTTCTTCCTGTCTTCTCTCCTTTCTTTCCCTTCCTTCCTCCCTTCCTTCTGTGGCAGTTTGTAAGGGGTTTGCACCCTCCCTTCACCCGACAGTCCTGAGTGTGCAGCCGCTCCTGCAGCCAGGCTTCTGTTTCAAACCTCTGCCCGGGCTTGCCCTCCATCTCTCCTTTCTTCCTTCCCTCTTTCCTTTCCTCACTCTATCCCCTCCCGAAAAGAAAGAGGGGTCTGCCTTCCTACTTGGAAAGGGACTCCATGGCGAGGCAAGGCAGCCCCTTTCCCTCTCAATGGTTGGTGCCTCAGGCTTCTCGCGCACATGCTGGGGAGAGGGACTTTTGAGCAGGCTGGGTTAAGTACTTTTGGGGGGGGGTATTTATTTCCCCTTCATTTTTAAAGATTTTTTTCTTTGGAAGACATAGATCAGATAAGAATGTGTTTTGCTGCCAAATTTGGTGCCAATTGATCCAGAGGTTTTTGAGTTCTGTGAATAGCATAAACGAACATTACATTTTCTATATATATATAAAGCTTAAGAGCGTAATTAGGCGGTCAAAAACGGAAAAACCACCGGACGAAATCTTACCAAATTTGGCCTGCTAATACCTCTTCCCCCAAGGTATGACCAACAACCCTCCAAACACCAATACGCAACAACACAAACTCACAATACCCTAAAAACACGGAGCATGCGCAGAGGCCTCGGGAGGAATACGATGAGGAGGAAGGACTCCATTTCCCAGCTTCCCCCGCACCCAAGTCGCCCTCCGCATGAGCACTGCTGCCTGCCTGCCTCCCTCTACCCAATCGCTCCCGCCGCTGCCTCACATACACAGAGAGATTGCGAGCCCAGCCTGCGAAAGCCCACCAGGCCCATTTAAGCACTAACGGCCGGGGAGGGCATGAAACCTGCAGGGGGCCGCCAAGCGAACACAAACAACACGAGACGGGAGGCCCGCCGTCTTCTCCTGAGCCGGGGCTCGATTTCTGCCATGGCCCCACGCCCCTCTTGCCTTCGGCGGCCTCCAAACCTGCCCGGGGGGAGGTGGGTCTCTCCCAACTGGTCCTCCTGCCCTGCTGCTTTTTCACTTTGATACGAGACGGGACCTCCATCCACAGAACACTGTGGACTCAAACAATGATAGATCTGGACCAAACTTGGCACAAGCACTCAGCATACCCAAATATGAACACAGATGGAGTTTGGGGGAAATAGACCTTGACATTTGGGAGTTGTAGTCACTGGGATTCACAGTTCACCTAAAATCAAAGAGCATTCTGAACCCCACGAACGAGAGAACCAAACTTCTCACACAGAACCCCTATGACCATCAGAAAATACTTAAGGCCATCCAATCCAACTCCCTTCATCAGGGCAAGAAAACGTAATCAAAGTCCTCCTGACAAAGAGCCATCCAGCCATAGATAGATAGAGATAGATAGATATGATTCACACACACACAGATATAGTATCATAGATTTGAAAGGGACCCCTAAAGAAGGACAATAATATGTTGCATGTTCCAGAGTAGGCAAACCAGACACTCTCCACATCAACACTGACAAAGAAACAAGAAGAATTACTGTTTACCCACAAGCATAAAGACATTACATATATTAGAAACCAACACTTTCTCATTACTTTATTTTCCAGATCACCAAACTGGGCCACAGCAACGCGTGGCAGGGTCCGCTAGTTATTTATATAGATTAACGAATAGAACTTCCATTTAGGGGTTTCTTCCCAGCCCAGCACAGAGATTGACTTCCTAGTATTGAAGTATCCGTCAGTCCTCCTCTTTGAAGATTCAGCAATTTATTGGAACTCTAACTGCTGCAATGAGGGACACATCTCTCCCCTCTCTTGATTGAGGCTTCCTGATGCTGAACGGAATTCTGGGAAATGTAGTTCAGAGCAGGGCCTTTTGCACTCTCTGGCACAGGGCTCCTCTCCTTCCCAAACTACATTTCCCAGAATCCTGTGCTTTCTCCGCCTCTTTCCCAGCGAACTCTGCTTCCTCCCTGCTGCTTCCCTCTCCTCATGGTGAGAAGCCATTAATTTAAAGAGGATAGGCAGCCTTTTTGGCTTTGCTTTGCTTCCTTGTACTGAAAATAAAACTGACTTTGGGAGGCTTTTGAGGTTTACAAAATGCAAACAAAATAGTATTGGGTAAGTTTTGATTTTTAAGTTTTTGGCGTGGGCCACGCTCATGTGTCAGATATTATATCGTAAATATGAATTTAACAAATTTGGATACTGCTTACGACAACTAACGAAAAATTGCACAGCGCTACTAGTCAAGATAATAGCAAACAGACAGAGTTCTATGAAGGGCATCCATATTACTGGACTAGCTGTCTCCTGCCACACATTGCTGTGAACCAGTCTGTGTATATGTGTTTTGTGTGTGTGTGTGTGTGTATATATATATTTGTGTATGTATGTATATATGTGGTTTAGCACATGCGTTGTAATGTATTATTATTTTAATTTTTTTTGCTTTTTAAGTCTCTTCTGCTATGTTTTCCAGTGTTTTTATGACTGATGGTCACTCATTGGCTAGAGAGGCGTCTTGTGTCCAAATTTGGTGTCAATTCACCCAGTGGTTTTTGAGTTATGTTAATCCCACAAACATTACATTTTTATTTATATAGACTAACTGTACCCACCATGCGTTGCTGTGGCCAACCTTTCCTCTTTCTCTCCTTCTTTCCCTCCTTCCTTCACTCCCTCTTTCCTTCCCTTCCCTTTCCTTCTCTTCTTCCTTCCTTCTCTCTCTTTCCTTCCTTCCCCTTTTTCTTTCCTTCTGCTTCTCTCTTTTCTTCCTTTTCCTCTTTCCTTCTTTCCTTTTCTTTCCCTCTTCTCTTTATTTCCTTCCATTGCTCCTTTCTCCCTTCCTTCCTTCTGTCCATTCATCTATTCATCCATCTTCCTTTCACTTTCTTTCCTTCCTCCCTTTCTCCCTTCCTTTTCCTCTCTTCCTTCTTCCTTCCTTCCTTCCTTCCTTCCTTCCTTCCTTCCTTCCTTCCTTCTTCTTTTTCTTTCTTTTCACTTCCCCCTCTTTCTATATTAATATCCTCTTTCTTTTCTTTCTTTCTTTCTTTCTTTCTTTTTCTTTCTTTCTTTTTTTCTCCCCTTCCCTCCCTCTTTCTTCCTTTTTTCTGTATTGTCATTTAGCTTTTCATCATTTAGCTTTTTTCATCTTTTAGCTTTTATAAAGTCACTTCTGCTGTGTTTTTCAGTGTTTTTATGAGTGAAGGACATACATTGGGTTGTTAGGTGTCTTGTGTCCAAATTTGGTGTCAATTCCCCCAGTGGTTTTTGAGTTATGTTAATCCCACAAACAAACATTACATTTTTATTTATATAGACTAGCCATCCCCTGCCACGCATTGCTGTGGCCCAGTCTGGTGACCTGGAAAATAAAGTAACGAGAAAGTGCTGGTTTCTAATATAGGTGATTTCTTTATGCTTATGGGTAAACAGTATTTCTTGCTGTTTTTTGTCAGTGTTGATGTGTTGAGAGTGTCTGGTTTGCCTCCTCTTGAACATGCAACATATAATTGTCCTCCTTTAGGAGTCCCTTTAAAATCTAGGATACTATATCTCTCTCTCTGTGTGTATCATATCTATCTATATCTATGGCTGGATGGCTCTTTGTCAGGAGGGCTTTGATTACGTTTTCTTGCCCTGGTGAAGGGAGTTGGACTGGGTGGCCTTCAGTATGAGGGTTCTGTGTGGGAAGTTTGGCCCAATTCTGTCAGAGGAGTTCAGAATGGTCTTTAATTGTAGGTGAACTATAAATCCCAGTAACTACAGCTCCCAAATGTCAAGGTGTATTTCTCCCAACTTCCATCTGTGTTCATATTTGGGCATATGGAACATTCGTGCCAAGTTTCGTCCAGGTCCATCATTGTTTGAGTCCACAGTGCTCTCTGTATGTAGGTGAACTACAACTCCCAAACTCAAGGTCCATGCCTACCAAACAGGGGAGTCCTGTGTGCCAAGATTGATTCATTCTATCGTTGGTGGAGTTCAGAATGCTCTTTGATTGTAGGTGAACTATAAATCCCAGGAACTACAACTCCCAAATGACAAACTCAATTTTTTGAGTGATGGTCACTCCTTGGGTTAGTAGGTGCTGTGGCCAACCTTCCCTCCCTCTTTCTCTCTCGCCTTCCTTCGTTCTCTCCCTCTTTCCTTGGTTCCTTTTTTCCTTTCCTTCTCTCTTTCCTCCCTCTCTCCCTCCCCCCTTTTATTTTCCTTCTTTCTCTCCTTTCTTCCTTCTCTCCCTCTTTCTTTCCTTCCTTCCTTTGCTCTTCGCTTCCATCCCTCCTCCTCTCTTTCCTGCTTTCTTTCCCTCCCTCTTTCTTTCTCTCCTTTCTTCTCTCCCTCTTCCCTTCCTTCCCTTCTTTACCTCTTGCCTGGGCGCTGGCAGGAAGGGAGCCTAGCAGCCAGGTGCGGAGCAGGTGGGAGGGAGGTGCTTTTTGAGGCAGGTGTCGCTCACCCAGCACCACCCCTTTTTTCTGCCATGGCTGCGGGGCGCCTTCCTGCCTGTTTGCCGGTTGGGCACGCAGGCAGGGTCACAGGAAAGGTGCCCTGTGGCTGTGGTAGGAAGAAGGGGCCCATCGGGATTGCCAGCTTGCAACGGATTTTCCTCTGTGCGGGGGGGGGGGGGGGGCACTCTCGCGCATGCGCTGTTATGTATTCTTGGTTTTGGAGGGATTAAAGTTATTTTTTGTTTTACTGAGTGAAGGACATAGATTGCTTTGTGTGGAGTCTTGTCTCCAAATTTGGTGTCAATTTTCCCAGTGGTTTCTGAGTTCTGTTAATCCCACAAACGAACATTACATTGCCTTTAACAATCTATATATATAAAAATGCTCTGTGCATAATGAGTACCTTAAAAACAAAAGAACCAATGAACGAAATCACACCAAATTTGGCAACAAAACATCTCACTACACAAGGAGTGACCATCACTCAAAAATTATGATTTTGTCACTTGGGAGTTGTAGTTGCTGGGATTTATAGTTCACCTATAATCAAAGAGCATTCTGAACTCCACCAATGATGGAATTGAACCAAACTTGGCACACAGGACTCCCATGACCAACAGAAAATACTAGCAGCGTTTGGTGGGCATTGACCTTGAGTTTGAGAGTTGTAGTTCACCTACATCCAGAGAGCACTGTGGACTCAAACAATGATGGATCTGGACCAAACTTGGCATGAATATTCCATATGACCAAATATGAACACAGATGGAATTTGGGGGAGATAGACCTTGGCATTTGGGAGTTGTAGTTACTGGGATTTATAGTTCACCTACAATCAAAGACTATTCTGAATGAACCCCACGAACGACGGAATCGGGGCAAACTTCCCACACAGAACCCCCATGACCAACAGAAAATACTTAAGGCCATCCAGTCCAACACCCTTCACCAGGGCAAGAAAACGTAATCAAAACCCTCCTGACAGAGAGCCATCCAGCCATAGATATAGATAGATATATATGATTCACACACACACAGATAAAGTATTATAGATTTGAAAGGGACTCCTAAAGATGGACAATTATATTTTGCATGTTCCAGAGTAGGCAAACCAGACAATCCCTACGTCAACACTGTCAAAGAAACATCAAGAAATACTGTTTATCCACAAGTATAAAGACATGACAGCACTTTCTAATTACTTTATTTTCACTGGACTGGGCCACAGCAATGCGTGGCAGGGGACCGCTAGTACATTACATTTTTATTTATATAGATTGTGCCATTTGAGGGGTGGGGGGAAGCACATACTTAATCTCAAATAAAGGTGATTCCGACAAAGCAGAAGGGGGCATAAGAAATAATGTGAATCCATCATTCTACAAAGGATGCAAGTTAAAAAGTGGCAAAAGGGGGACTTACGGTCTTCGAATGGAATGTAGCATGGGAACTTAATATTTGATTTTGAAGGAGTGCAGCACTCATGCTGTAGGCAAAGCGTCTTGTTGATATATCCTCCAGCTTTGCAAGGTTGCACTGGCTGGTTCGTTTTAGGTCGGCATGCTTTGGGAAATGGAATTTGATTGGTTAAGATACATATTTTTCCACCCTTTATTGTGTTGAGCCACACACAATACCAACAACTTAAAAAACGTTCAGATTGAAAGTAGGATGCTTGCCCCCTCTTTGGCTCTCCCTCTCCCTCCCCACTACTCTTGGCTGCCTCAGAGAGAGGGGGATGGACCTTGGAAAACTATAACCACCCAGGACTGCACAGCATGGAGATATGGCATAACAACAACAGCAACAGCAACAACGGCATTTAAAATGGGTTCCGACTGCATTTATTCTCCAGTGCAGATGCAACCAGATAAGGGTATAGACCTTGGGAAGTTATAACTCCTAGGACAGCATAGTATGGAGCTATGGTATTTAAAGCGGGGTCCAAGTGCATTTATTCCATACTGAAAATGCATTAGGAGAAGGGTATGGACCTTGGCAAATGATAATTCCCAGGACTGCACAGCATGGAGACATGGCATAATAATAATAATAATAATAATAATAATAATAATAATAATAATAATGGTCATGATCATAATAATTATAATCATAATATATTATATTATTATAATATTGGATCTGCGCGCATCATTCGAAAATACATCACACAGTCCCAGACGCTTGGGAAGTGTTCGATTTGTGATTTTGTGATACGAAATCCAGCATATAGATCTCATTTGCTATGACATACTGTGGTGTCAAATATTATTATTATTATTATTATTATTATTATTATTATTATTATTTGAAACACCACAAAATGAGTCCTCTGCTGGTTGTTGTGTTGGATTCCCAATTGTCTAGGACTGTGTGATGTATCAGCGAATAATGCGTGCAGATCCCAGTAAGGTGGCCTTCTGCAGCTGGCAGATGGTAATTTTGTCAGCGCTGATTGTGTTTAAGTGCAGACCAAGGTCTTTAGGCACTGTGCCCAGTGCGCCGATCACCACTGCTTGTGCCACAGTCTTTGCAGTTCGATCTTTAAATCCTCATATCGTGTCATCCTTTCCAGTTGTTTCTCTTCAATCCTGCTGTCATCTGGGATTGCAACATCGACAATCCATACTTTGTTTTTTAACACAAACGTGAGGTCAGGAGTGTTGTGCTCCAAAACTCTGTCTGTCTGAATCCGGCAGTCCCAGAGTAGCTTGACGTGTTCATTCTCTGTAACTTTTTCCGGCTTGTGATCTTTTTTCTTTGTCGCAGGCAGATGGTATTTGTGGCACAAGTTCCAATGGATCATCTGAGCCACCGGAGTTCCCGGTGGCGCAGTGGGTTAAACCCCTGTGCCGGCAGGACTGAAGACCGACAGGTCGCAGGTTCAAATCCGGGGAGAGGCGGATGAGCTCCCTCTATCAACTCCAGCTCCTCATGTGGGGACATGAGAGAAGCCTCCCACAAGGATGATAAAAACATCAAATCATCTGGGTGTCCCCTGGGCAACGTCCTTGCAGACGGCCAATTCTCTCACACCAGAAACGACTTGCAGTTTCTCAAGTGGCTCCTGACACGACACAACAACAATCTGAGCAATGGTGTTGTGCCTCTGCGTGATCTTCTTGTAGCAGCTGAGGATGTCATCTATTGTTTCATCTGCTTCCTTGCAGAGTCTACACTTGGGATCTGTTGTCAACTTTTCAATTCTGGCTTTGATGGCGTTGGTTTGAATGGCTTGTTCTTGGGCTGCCAGAATCAGGCCCTCCTTTTTCTCCTTTTTCAGAGTTCCATTTGTGAGCCACAGCCATGTGTTTCACTTTTTGCCAGGAACTGTCCACGGAGAGCCTTCTTTTGCCAGTTTTCTTTTCTGCTCTGGATTGTGTTTTTATGTTATATGGTATTGTTGTTGTTGTTGTTGTTGTTGTTAAGATGATTCATTGTAACCTGAGAGCAACGAATGCCATCACATTGCAGGAATAGCCAAATATCCAGATGATTTCAAATAATCCACTTCCCCACCACCTCATGAATGCTGGTGTCCACACTTAAAACAGGCAAAGAATGCTCTACCCTACACTTGAAGCCAAACTAATGTGATGAACACAGTGGCTTCTCAGATTTTAAGTGTAGCACTCAGTGGAATTTAGTAAATGTGCTGAAGAGGCTAAGAGGGGTTTGGGCTGAGGCTTTCCAAATAAGCCACTTTCTATGGATTACAGCAGACCCAGATGAGAAAAACTGCAACTTGGAAGTCAAGAGAGAAGGATTTATTTATTTATTTATTTATTTATTTATTTCGGTCATTTCTACCCCGCCTTTCTCACCCCCTAGGGGGGACTCAAGGCGGCTTACATCCGGCACAATTCGATGCCCACAATTACAATAAAATGCAATAGCAGTAACACAATAGATTAAAAAAGGCAATTAATACAGTACAATACAACACAATACAATATCAACTAAAACCGCTCTATAGCCCGCGTTCATCGTGTTCTAAAATCCATCAATCCGTTTAGCATTGCCATAGTCCTTTCCAACTCTAGTCATCATTACCTTGTTACCCTGCCAGACTACCCAAATGCCTGGTCCCATATCCATGTCTTCAGCTTTCTCCTGAAGGAGAGGAGGGAAGTTGACGACCTAATTTCCCCGGGGAGTGAATTCCACAGGCAAGGGGCCACCACTGAGAAGGCCCTGTCTCTTGTCCCCACCAGCCTCACTTGTGATAAAGGTGGGGCCTCCCCAGAAGATCTTAAACTCCGTGGTGGGACATAGAAGGAGATACGTTCGGACAAGTACACTTGGCCGGTGCCGTAGAGGGTTTTAAAGGTCAAAACCAGCACTTTGAATTGTACTCGGAACTGGATCGGCAGCCAGTGGAGCTGACGTAGCAGAGGAGTGGAGTGCTCCCTGTATGACGCTCCAGTGATTAATCTGGCTGCCGCCCGTTGGACTAGTTGAAGTTTCCGAACAGTCTTCAAAGGCAACCCCACGTAGAGTGCGTTGCAGTAATCTATTCGGGATATAACAAGGGCGTGGACCGCTGTGGCCAGATCAGACTTCCCAAGGAATGGGCGCAGCTGGCGCACGAATTTTAATTGTGCAAAAGCTCTCCCGGCCACCGCTGAAACCTGGGGTTCCAGGCTCAGCAATGAGTCCAGGCTCAATCCCAAGCTGCGAACCTGCGTCTTCAGGGGGAGTGTAACCCTATTCCCTGTTCGGCCTTGCGACTGACCAGTAGGACCTCTGTCTTGTCTGGATTCAGTTTCAATTTGTTAGCTCTCATCCAGTCCGACACAGCGGCCAAGCACCGGTTCAAGGTTTGGACAGCCTCCTTGGTGACAGGTGGGAAGGAGTGACAGATTTGGACATCATCTGCGTAGAGATAACATCGCATTCCGAAACTCCGGATGATCTTATAGTATTATTTTATTTCCTTTTCTAACTGTAAAACCCTGAGGCACCCTCAATGCAGCCTATTTGAGTGGTCTTTCAGTGATCAATTTTGAGTCCACTCTACACTGAGAAAAAACAAACAAACAATAGAACAACATAGTGGTACTTACTCACTGGATTGAAGAAGCGTACCAGCTTCATCGATATAATTTCAGCTTTTGATTTTGGCTCGCTGGGAGCGAATTCAGTACTATTCAAATCATCCAGCATTGGCAATGCAAAAACTAGAGGGCTCCAAAGAATTAAAACAGGATTATGGCAGTTCAAACGTCAAGCAAATAAGTGCACAAAAGGCAGTCAAAACTCTACAAGCTGGAGTATCCCTTACCCAGAAACCCAAAATCTGAAATACTGCAAAATTTGGGAGATGGGACTCAGGTCTAGCAATAAAATTAATGCATGTTTCATTTGCTCCTTGTGCACAAAGTCTGGAGGTAATTTTATATGAAATTTTTGATAATTTTGTGCATGGAATTTTGTGCATCTGTTACATTAAACCAGTGGTTCTCAATCTTTTTTTGACCAGCAACCACTTGACCAAGGACTACTTTGACCTGGGACCACATTAGTACCAAAAGAGTTAGTCAACCTTAGTCAAAGGTTTTGGTCAACTTTTGATTTGGTTTGGTTATTTGGGGTGCTGATTCAGAAAATTGCATTGGGTAGACCATGTTTCTGACACAGAAAATATGGTATCCAGTGGTCACCATCTGCTCACCCACAGAAAACCATATGTGCCCTGCTTTGTGCTGGTCAGTGACATAATAAAATGTTGTTGTTGTCTAGAGCTGATGTGGTGTAGTCAATGCAATTTTCTGAATCAGCACCCCAAACAACCTCAGGAAAGGGCCCAAAAACGAAGACAACAAGAAAATAAAAAAATGAAGCAAAAAGAAACACCAGATTTAGACGAATGGATTCAGAAAGTGAGAGAGATTAAGGATATGGACAAATTAACTTTTTTGTTAAAGAAAAATTCAGGGAATCTGATTAGATACACTGATTGGTCCATGATAGAGGAATATGAAAAAATGAGAAACTAACAGACATATCAAAAGACATTCGTGTGTAATGGAGAAACAAGAAGAGCCGATTTATTTTACTGAGTTGTTGTGATATTTAATCCTCAATATAAAATATTTAGATAAAAACTGTATCACTCCAGAACAGGAATTATCCCCTCTGACTATAAGCACACCACACATTGAGTGAAGGATCAATACTTTTTATTAAAGTTTAGCCAAAAACAACCCAGTAGAAATAAATGCTTGTAAAGACAGATAAGATTCCAAAAAGCAATAAGGCATTCAAAGGCAGCCAGATAAAACAGTGTCCAAACGTAGCAATCAAAAAAAATATCCAAAAAACATGAACAGATAATCCAAGGCAATGATTATCCAGACAGGAATCAAACAAGAAGCAAGAACAGACCAGATGCTGCTAGTTACCTTGAAAAACTAGAAAAAAACCCATGAAAACTAGACCACTTGAACAGGGATTCCATGGAGCTATACTTGGTTTCCAAACGATGCCTGATGGTTTCACTTTCTACCAGTCTTTGATTTTACTTGACGAATTCTTTCGGATTTATGTAAACATTGGGCCTCTTCATGATTCTGGCTAATCTCCAGCTGCCGACTCTGCTTATCTGACTCCTCATTAACTTTAGCAGGTGTCAGACTGTTTTCCAAACTAGAATCTGAAGAGCTCACAGACGGAGGGAGTAAACCTTTCTCCTAAGGCCTGACAGAAGCATTCTCATGAGAATCTGGCCAATGCACCGAAGCCTCTCTGTCAGTGTCTGCATGAAACTCATTGACCAAAGTGTCTCCATCTTGCACCTCAGAGTCAGTCCCAGCATCCCCCACATCAGAATCAGCAGGGAACTGATTTCCCTCCTCATTATCCCACATCAGACCCAGAAACATCAGGAGACTGAAACACATTCACAGGTTCAAGCACAGGCTCAGATACATCAATCACAGGCTGAGTCCCAACAAAGACAAAGGTAAAGCCACAAAGGACTAGATGGAAGTCACAGAAGTCACCCTTTTGGCAACCACATGGTTTTTTTAATCTTCAAATTTTTGCACAAGTTTATTTTCTTTTTTTTAATTTTTTAAAAATTTCTCTCTTATCTCTCTTTCTATATGTTTTCTACTTTTCTATTATTTCATTGTTCCCCCATTTAACTTGTATAAGAAAAACTACCCCCTTCCCTTTTGTGTCCCCTATCCTTGGTTTTTCCCTTTTACCCTCAAAATAGATTTAAAAAAGAAAAAGAAAATAATAAAATGGTTGGGTTGGGCTGGTTATTACTTGTAGTAGTAACAGTGAGGCTGCAGACCATGTTTTAGTTTTTGCAGACCGCTGGTGGCCCATGGACCACAGGTTGGGAACCACTGATCTAAACTAATACACTTTGGATTGCTTTAACTGCCTTGCCTCAATGCAATGGAATAATGGGTGTCTTTAGCCTTGTCTGCCACGAAGTGTTGGTGCCTCACCAAACTACAATTCCCATGATTCCATAGTATTGACACAATGGTGTCAAAGTGCACTAACCACCTTAACACAATGAGAAATTTCTCCCTGGCAGGACACTTCAGCCTCTTTTTAAACATGGAGAGGCATGGAGCTCATCACATGAGTTCATCCTGCATAGCCCTCCATGGTTGAAAAGAGACTGAAGTGTCCTGACATATGCCATAGCAGGCGGCATGAAAGGAGCAAATATATAAAATATAAAATATAAAATATAAAATATAAAATATAAAATATAAAATATAAAATATAAAATATAAAATATAAAATATAAAATATAAAATATAAAATATAAAATATAAAATATAAAATATAAAAGAGGAAGGAGGTTCGCGGACCAGATTTTTGTCCTTGTGGCCCACAGGTTAATAGCCATTGCATTAAACCATCAAAAAACAAGGAAGAACCAGGATTAATGGCCACATATAAGAAACAAAGATACTGGATCACAAATGAAGAAAGAGTCAGAGAGTTTTTCAATGAAATTAAATGGGATAAAGAAAGGGGAAGAGGAAAAGAAAGGAGATTTGACAATAAAAATAAGGAACAATATACAGACACAGCAACAAAAGAGGAAAAGGAAAGAGAAGACTATAGAAGAAAACTAAGAGGTTGGTCTGAGAATATACAAAAGAAAGAAGACGAAAGACAAATGGATGAAGAAGAATCAGAAGCGGAAGAAGAGGAAGGAGCCAAAGAGGAAGAAGAAGGGGGAGAAGAGGAAGGCGCAGAAGAAACGACATGTTTGGAGAACTAAAAATCTATTTGAATAACATAAATGGACTACATTCCCCGAATGAGAGAAGCAAAATATTCAATAAACTTATTTAAAAAAATACCAAGTGCTGGCCTTGCAAGAAAAACATATCACACAAAGACATGTAGCACATTTAGAAAATAAAAAGTTAGGGAAATTGTACTACGCATCGACACCAGAGAAGAAAAAGGGAGTGGCAATGTACATAAACAAACAAATTCCATCAGAATTAGCTTTCAGAGACGAGGAAGGAAGATTTGTAGGGGTGAAAATATCAAATCAAGGGAAGAAAGTTTTGATATGAAATATATATGTGCCCAATGAGGCTAAAACAGAATTTGCAACAAATTTTTTTAAAAAGATAGAGCAAGAAGAATTTGATGATAATACTTGGAGATTTTAATGGTGTTATTGATGGTGAAATAGATAGAAGCAAAAAAAAAATAGACAAAGGAAAGAGAAAAAGACAAAGTGTGGAAATCTCCCAAAATTAATAACAAATTGGATGGATGAATTTTGACATGTGTGATGTATGGAGAATAAAAAAATGAAAAGATAAGAGATTACACCTTCTTCTCGGACAGACATAAAAATGGTCCAGGATTGACATAATATGGATGACTAATGATAATGGTCAAAAAGATAAACATACTCCCAAGAGGAGATTCAGATCATTGCCCCTTAGAATTAATAATAAAAGATACAAAAAATGGAGATGGAGATTAAATGAAAATCTATTAAAGAAAGAAGAAGATATAGAGAAAAACAGGAAAATCCTGAAAGAATTTTTTGAGTTAAATGAAAAACCGGAAAGCCACATGTTCTCAGTATGGGAAACAAGTAAAGTGGTTTATACAACAAAAAGCAAGGAAGAAAAATTAATGACACAAAAAATGGAAGAAATTAGACAAGAAATTGAAAAGGAAGAAATTAAACTCAAAAATAATCCAAAAGGAAAAGGAATAAAAGAAAATGTAAAAGTATTGCATAAACAAAGAGAACTTTTGGAAATGGAAGAAAGGGCCAAACAATTGAAATTTATGAATCAGGATCACTGACAAACAAGCCGGGAAAATGGCTGGCAAAAAGATTAAGGAAGAAAAAGGAAGCAACGTACGTGACAAAACTGAAAGAAGGAGACCTAATCTACACACAAGAAAAAGAAATAGGGAACCAATTTAGGAACTTTTACAAGAATCTATACCAGAAAGATGAAATAAAAGAAGAGGACATATCACAATATCTCGGCAAACAAAAAATTAGAAGAATTTTGGACAAACAGAGAGAAGAACTAAATAAAGAAATCACAGAACAAGAAATAAAAGAAGCAATAAAACGCATGATATTAAATAAAGCACCAGGCCCAGATGGGCTCCCAGCCATATACTATAAAATTTTTCAAAATGAACTAATCCCACATCTAAAAAAAATTACGAATGAGGTGAGACAAACCCAAAAAATCCCGGAATCCTGGAAACAGGCAACAATATGTGTCATCCACGAAGAAAATAAGGATCCAGAAAAAGTAAAAAATTATAAGCCCATCTCTCTATTAAATTCAGTTTATAAAATATTTAGCTTCATAATTGAGAGGCTTAAGGAATTATTAAGTAAGAATATAAAAGGTGACCAAACAGGCTTTCTACCTAAAAGAAACCAAAGTCAAAACGTAAGAACAATCATTGATCTAATTGAACATTATGAAATCAAAAACCAAAAGAAAGTAATGTTGTTGGCCCTAGATGCAGAAAAAGCCTTGGACAACGTAAACTGGAACTTCTTCAAATTCTTAATGAGAGAAATGGATATTGGCTATTACTTCCAAAACATAATAAATGCAAAATACGAAAATCAGGAAGCAAAAATATTGATAAATGGGGATGAGACAGAGAAAGTGGAAATACAGAAAGGTACAAGACAGGGTTGCCCACTGTGGTGAACCCTTACCTCTAACAGTTAGGATATGGGCCTAGTGAAGCCCGGCAACCATTTTAGATTAGGGAAACAGGGAGACGTCATCTTAGGTTAGGTTTTCTTAGAGGGGGCGTGTCCTTGTTAAGGAAGAAAAGGGTAGATGGCCAGGATTGGTTAGAATAGGGGGCGGAGTCTAATATTCAGATAAAGAGAAAAGGTACCTTTTTGAATTCTGAGGCTTGAATTTGGCAGTTGGGTTTTTACAGTTGGAATAGCAGTTAGGAATTGAAAAGGGAAAAAGAAGGAAGTTTAGCTTGTGATAAATTCTTAATAGTTGCTTCAAGGAAGAACTATTGGTGTAAACAGACCCTGGAGAATTGGGCTG